CTGTGGTTTGCGGGCTCATGTTTTGGGACCACTGTGTCGGGGCAGTGACTGCTGGTTCTGGGCTGGCAGGCTTGGAGCTAGCACAAGCACTGTAGCCATCGTCTACCCCTTTAAGGGCTCTGGGGATGGGGGAGAGGAGAGGAAGTTTTCCTGGTTGTGCCCAGAGTAGCCACCAGGGCACCCTGGGAAGACTCGAGGCCCCCTATTTTGAAATAAGCATCTATACAGCGCTTATTTCGAATTAGCTATTTCGACTTTGGCGTTATTGCTCATAGAATGAGGTTTACCAAATTTGAAATAAGCGCTCCGCTATTTTGAATGTATTTCAAAATAGCGGTTTGCCTGTATAGACGCTATTAAAGTTCATTCGAAATAACGGCTGTTAGTTTGAATTAACTTTGATGTGTAGACATACCCCCAGTGAGGCTTACAACTAGTACCTCAATAATAATAACCTATGTTTGCATAGCTCTTCATGCTTTTGGCTCCAACCAGACAATGATTTCCAAACAGGAATAAGCTCTTGCAGAGGAATGTGCTGTTTTTTGACTACTATTAGTAGTATTAGAGGAATACTAGGGATCAAAGCTGTAGTCCCTGCATGCAGCTCCCATTATCATTAATACAGTAGGACCATCCAAAAAGAAAACAAATAGAAAAATGAACCTCCCTGAAAAACATTAGGCTGTAAGGGTAGGTCTACACTACCACCCTAGTTCAAACTAGGCTACACGCGGCACGGACTAGGTAGTCCGGACTAGCGGACATTTAAAAATGGCGGCGCCCTGCTTTATGCAAATGAAGCCTGGGAAATTCAAATCCCGGGCTTCATTTGCAACTCCGGTTGCCTACATTACCACCCTAGTTCGAACTAGGGTGGTAGTGTAGACATACCCTAACACAGCACTACTTAGCTAAAATAGCCCCAATGCTGCCCTTATTGCAATGCTTCTGCTCCTTCTCTCACAGAGCCCCCTGTGGGAAAGCTTGTAATTGGGACACATACTCCAGCACTAATTGGCTTGGCTATGCTACCATGAGGGAACAAGACTGTGTGTCACACTGAACAAGAGCCAATCATCTGCAGCCATTGTTTGTAGACCCAGAAAACAAAATTCAGATTTAAAATTGCTATTGTTCCACGCTGAATGACTCTCCCTCCCTATTGGTTTATTCGAGGCATTCATCAGACATTCTTTTCTTTTTTATTTGTGCGTTAAGGTTAAACAAGCAATCCCTCAAATACCTTCCTAACCAGTTATAGACAAACCCTATTAATGGAGAGTGAGTAATTCTGAGGGAGTCTGGTACTTTAGCAGTATAACCATAGACAGATGTTGACTGTGTGGAAATGCAGCTTCTACTGAATTACTGATATTTCTAAAACTTCCCCTTTGGCAGCATCTTTGCATAAGGACATCGGAAGCCTTCCCTCGCATACACATGATACCAAAGCATGGATCTCTGCTTCAAATTCTACCATATTTGGGCAGTTGGGAGAAAAACCCCATTTCCTTTCTGTACCCAGCTGAATATGCAATCATGGCTTGGAAAGGAGATGCACGGAGGGGGTGTGTGAGTGGGAGAGGGTTATAAAGGCCACAGTTGAGTCACACAGTGTGAAATAAAGGAAAATGGGCTATATATTTGCCAGATATGGTTCTCAGCATTTCTTTGCAAAATAGAGGATGTACCATTTTCTTCGGATTTTAGTGCAGTGACCACTGAGAAGTGACCTAACTTTGTAAAGAGAAAGCTAAACAGATATAAGTTAAAGATTTCATCTAGTCCATCTGCCTTCCAAGGGAATGTTCCCTGTCATGCCTTTTGACAGCTGGTTTTAACAAAAAGTCATTTCATAGTGCCACTACAAAAGCCTCCGTCTAAGAATTTGCCCTAGACTTGGCTCCTCCTAGGGTTCCTTTTCCCAGCATTATCCAAGCCCTATCTGCTGCCGATATAGCTTCCTGGGTCAGAGGGGTACCCCCAGCTCCTGTATATCCAGGGTGTAGTCTACTGCACATGTGACACTAGTGAATCAGCGGTAATTAACCCTCCAAGGTTCTTATGCACACTCACATGGTGATGTGAATAGAGCTACCCTAGAGACAGTCATAGCAAAGACCCTTAGTACTCCAAAGAGACTGTAGCATATGGGCAGGAATGGTGTCCCTAGCCTCTGTTGGTCAGATGCTGGGAATGGGCGACAAGAGAGGGATCTCTTGCTGATTGCCTGTTCCCTTCATTCCCTCTGGGGAACCTGCCATTGTCCACAATCAGAAGACAGGATACTGGGCTAGATGGACTTTGGCCTGACCCAATGTGCCCATTCTTATGTTCCCATGCTGATGTGACTCTAGTGCTAGTAGGTAGAACTTAGACTTTTTATCCAGGATGATTGTTGGTGTTAGCTGACACCCTGAGCAGGTTAAAAATACCCGGTACAAGCAAGTTAGGACAAAGGACACAGGACATTGAATTCATTAACATGCTGCACTGTCTCTGGGGTTCAATGGTGACGCTAATGGAAAACTATGAGGCAATGGAAAAGAACTGCAGATAGTCAAAGGAGCAATACTAGCAGGGTGGCCAGAAGACAAAAGTCAAGTACTGATTGAAACAGAACCACATTTTCAAATTAAAGGTGAGCTAAGTCTGCAGAATAGGATCAAATTTCAAGGACAGAGATCTGCTGTACCTCCCCATTACCTCAGGACATCATGCATATATGCTGCACATCTTGGCATTAACAGCTGTCTTCGACAGACACAAGGGTATGTTTACAGGTTTGGCATGAGTACACAAGTACTATTATCGACAGATGATTGTGTGCTAACCTGCAGAAGGAAACTCTGTTAACACATAAGCTGCCTTCCTAACCACCAGAGAAAGGTGTAATAGGACTTATTTATCTTCAAGGAAAAGCAATACTTTAATTATAGGGGACTACTATTCAAAATTTTGGGAAGCTGAAGCTCTGTCTGATACAGAAAACCAGTCAGTGACTGGCAAACTAGAGGCCCACTTTGTAAGATGTGGCACCCATACACAGTTCACTGACAACTGACTCTCTTTGGCTTGGAAGATTAAAGGAATCTGCACACAAATGGGAGTCTGACCACCAAACCTCCTCCCCCCGCATATCCCTAGAGTAATAGTAAGGTGAAAACAGCTACGAGACCCTTTGTTAGTTTTTTTGACACACAGGACTACCCCATCCAAAGGGATGCCAAACCAGATTAGTGAAGGCACTGATAGGACAAAGGACCAAAACTCTGTTATTAATGAGGGAAGACCTTTTGTAGCCAGAATGGAGATACTGCCAAAAGAAGATCACCAGCAATGGGTGAAAGCAGGCATTAGAGTACCACAGGTAAGCCAAGCACCTACCTGCCCTGGAGATAGTTTTGTTAATCTGGTTCACACATGTTTAATCCTGGTTTAGGGGAGATTTGCGGGACTATATTTTTACATGAATGTGGTGTTGCAGGTTGTGAAGGCTCCATGTA